CACGTTGGAGATATTTGGATGGAACAATATTGAATTTAATTACGATGTTTGCGATGCGGACTATAGAGTGATTGCAGTTCATCTGGAATGGAATTTGATTTTCCTTGTTGGCGAGGACAGAACACTGATCGCATATGACATGAACCTCAGAAAAGTTCTTGTCCTCCCTGCCCAGGTCGTGCGGTATCCTAGACCTACCTGGAGGCTACGTCCGGAGAGACCTCACTATCTTCCTTATGTTCCCTTGTTCATGGAGTCGGTAGGAGAGCAGTATAAAATTGCATATGTTGTTCTTTCTTCAGGTAGGGAGTTGTTTTGATTCTATATACAATCCAATTTTGCCTTGGTAACTAAAGCACTTGTATGTTGAATATTAATAATGTTGCTGCTTTGTGCAGGTTGTGGAGTCTGAGTGCTTTTGAATGATTTTTCCTGCAATGGCTAAGGGAGGAAGAAGAGGGCTTCCATGGTGCACTGGCTACCAAGCTGAAGGAAGCTTTGCCTTTTAAGCAGGAGTGCTAATATGAAGGAACGGAGCACACCTATCTTGTTTTCGTTACGTAAGTCTGTAGGGAGCAGAACCTTTATTCTCCTATCTATGTACCGCTTGTGTTCATTCTTGAGTTGACACAGTTGTTATGTTAGTGTCGCTTGTTATTATAAAAAGTACTCTTCGTTGTGGACATGATGAATGATGTGTAATGATTATATCTGTATGGTGTGTGTTCAGTATATTATTAAGGCCCAGCTAAATTAGTAAATACATTGTGAAAACCAGACGCAATTCTGTCACCGTCGAATGTAAGGGTCGTTGGTTGTTTTGTCATCACCGCCGTACCACTCGCCGTTGGTGAAGCAGACGGCCATCACCGCAGCTATTCGTTTGATGCGGCAGGGGTCAATAGTGTATCACCGTCGTATCGTTTAGTAACCCGATACCGACTAAAGGATCATCACGGGCGGATCGTACTGCAACACGACGGTGATCATGCCATATGACCAGACGGTTCATAAGCTAAAGCCATGGTGATGTTCGCCTTGACACAGACGGATCATGCTCCAATGCGACAGAATAAGGATCTGATCACGGACGGATCATAAACCATGCGGTGGTGTTAGTGCATACCCACACAGGCGGGTCATGCTCCAATGCGACGGAAGTAAGGACCTTATCACAGATGGATGATACGCCAATACGGCAGTGTAGTGTGCACCCCAGTCGGTCTCAGATACTGACGGTGATGGCTATGACTATCACTGCCGACAGCTTACTACCGAGGCAGAAATTAGACTGCGATGGGGGTTACGACGTGGCTGTGAAAGGTCCGAGTGTAGTAGTGCTTTATTTTCTCTTGTCAGTTCTATTTTTTTTTATAAAACTATTGTTCAAACATTTCACAGACTATTCTATTCCATGACCCTTTTGTAAAACATTTTCTAGATCACATACTTTCCTTTTTGTCTAAAACATTTTCAGATCCATCACAATGCTATATACACAGGCTTGCCAAAGTTATTGTTGGTTGGCCCCATCAGCGCGCCAACATCCATCAGCACATCAAGCTTACTAATTGTGGAACTGTCACTCGCACAATAAAGTTGCTGATCCTTAGGCCTATTAGCTATACCACTCCGCACACCATATATCGGTCATGTTGTGACCATATTTGTTTAAACTTGTAACAGTCTTCTCGCAAAGACAAAAGCCTAGTTTTGTTCATTGCAGCACTCACGAGTTTCTCATGCGTGCATATTGGCGGGAAATGGTGGACCAATTACACATGAGACGATATCAAAGGCAATATGTTTTTTGTGATTTTGTTGTAATCTTGGCAGACTCTCCCCTAGGTCACCGTCTTAAAAAATGCTGGATTTGATACATGATCGTTAAAATCGACACGTTTTGTTTGGTTGTTGACCCTTTGTCGACATCTGTGGCGAGGGAACCCTTCTGCCTCATAAACCTCACCAATGGGTTCACGATCCACAGGTGATGTAACTCCTTCACTATATCTGCCTATTCGTCCATGCTCCCCCTCAGCCATGGCATTCTCCCCACTAGCCTCTGCGTCCTCCTCCTTAGCATCCTCTACACAAGTTTGTATTCCACTCCACCTAAGTACCTAACTCACGGGCTTCCACTAGTATCTCCCCGAACACTTGTCCAAACAATACTAGAGGGAACCATGATTAGTTGTAATAATACACACATACTTCCTCCAATCATAGGTGTTTGCCAATGGCAGGTGCTCCCAAAAAACTACATCTGTGCATCGGGTAGTCACCTCCACGATTCTTATCGGTTGTCGCTTAGGGTCTACCTTAATTCCTTAAATGTATTAAACAACAACTTATCGGTTGTCGCTTACGGTCGTAAAGTTTCTTTCTTTGGTTCGAGGAACCAACTTCATCTGCGACTTAAACGCTGACAAGTCTATCTCTAGAGGTCCGTAGTGAATCTCCTTGTGCTCATAAAATATCTTAAAATCAAACTATACACACACGCCTAACGTACAACTATGCACCAAACGTTACTGATATTAGTTGCATATACATACAAATCCTAGGTGACCTAGCTCAACTAAACCATACATGTATAAAGCTAAAACAATAGCGAAAACTAAACTACACTGTAGATTTAAACAATACTACGTAAAAAACAATCCTAGAGTAGTACTTAAAAACATAGTCTAAAATGAATCCAAAACTTTTATTATCTAAATTTGCTACCTACTCCATCCGTCCCTAAATAACTGGTGGTCTCACTTTCCGAGAAATAACTTTGACTAATTTTATATAAAAAATATTAATATTTATGGTACATAATTAATATCATTAGATAGATCATTGAATCTATTTTTATAATAAATTTATTTGAAGATATATGTTGCACGTATTTTCTATAAATCTAGTCAAACTTATGGTACAAAAATAAAAAATGACAGTTATTTAGGGACGGAGAGAGTATGCATTAGATATTTCCTAGATCTAGTACCTAGGAAAGTAGTAAAAAACTTAATTTCAAAATGACAATACCAAAAATAATGTCCTATGCAAGCAATGCAGTGCCTAGATATAAAACCACATCTATAGTTCCTAGAAACTAAATAAATATAATACCAAAAATTTAAATTTTGGCATTACGAGATTACAATGAGATAAATTAATGTATACCTAATGTACTATTACTAAACATAATGTAAAATTAATTCCAATTTATTTATTATATATATTAACTACATATGCATTTGATATACCTATGGAAATATTACAAACACTAATACTAAAAAGCAGTACCTATACAAATTCTACAATACCTAGTTTTAAATTTAAATCTATATGTACTAGAAATGGAATACATAAAATACAAGTTCGCATGTTACCTCTAACTAGAATTTCGTTTCAAAGCTTCGCTACTCCTTCGTTCTCGCTTGTCTACTCCTCTCCCCCTTGTCTTTTTTTTTCTGAATTAAAATGAGATTTTGGAAGAAAAAAATAGTTTATATGTTGGGAGAGAGAGGGGGAGTGGGCACGACCGCACGACAGCTGGGGCCTAGGACTTACCGCCACTCCGCCAAGTGATGTAGTGGTAGCACCCTCGGAGAGGCGCCGACAGCCCGACAATCTTTCACTGTAAGAACCGACGATTTTTTGGACACCGTCTTTCCGCCGAATGAGCCAACGATAAGTCTTACTGTCAGGCGAGTTAGCCGTTAGCGCACGGTAGGAGGGGACAATGTTATCTAAACGTAAACAGTTGACCATTTGCTGTTTAGCCATTATTTAAGCAAAATATCCATTTAAACAGGCAAAACAACGGATTACATCGAAAATGCGTGTCACGGTGTAACATTTAAACGGCGGGTACATGGTCGTTTAGACGAGAACAACGGGAGGGGGATTTAAATCCTATTGCTGAGTTAATCGACGCTTTACTGAATCTGCCAGCTCACTTGGAGGTTTTAATATACCGCCGTTTCAACTGGCGGCATAAAGATAAAGATAGATTTGAGAAACTAGAATGAAAAAATATATATTTGAAAAACAAAAAACAAAAAATTCCTTTGTGTATGGAACGGCCGTAGGAATGGTTTTCTCTTGGTTCCGACGAAGGGCTTTACCGAGCCCATTCGATGTATATGGGGCATGGGCCTCAACCTGTTATTGTTGTTGCAATAAGTATAGGCTAGGCCCACGTTGTTCCTAGGATTTCTGTCTTGTGGAAAGAATGCCAAATAGGATGTAGGATAGGAAAAGGAAGCAAAGCAGCGAGCGTGGTAGAGACGGTCTAGGGTCGACCGAGATTAAGTAACTTTACTGAGGCAAGTCACAACGTAACTTTCCCATTCGTATCCGCCGTCCAACTCCCATCGAAGCATCCAGGTAATCCAATGTCTCCAGGATTTTTTTTTTCACCGGAAAAAGTAAGCATCAGGAGCGCTCCACAAGCCCGGAGTCTCCGGCTCGCTCGTACTTCCCCGCACCGCCGCGCCGCCTTAAACCTCTCGCGCCTGCGGCACGCGTGTCTCGTCGCCGCCCTTTCATGCCGCGTTGTCCACCTGAGAGGAAGGTGGTGGAGTTCGCGCAGCTCGACCTGGCATGGAGGACGCATGTCTGGCGCACGCTCGCGGCGCTGGCCCCAAACTCTCCGCACCGTCCGCGAGCTCGCCGCGCACGCTGGTAGCCTCGTAGTTGTAGTGCTCGCTGCGAGCTCACCGCGGCGCTCTCTGTGCTGGCCGCGCACGCTCGCGGTGTCGCCCTCTGCGACGGCGGCGCTCGCTTGCCTCGCTCCAGGCCCGCGCCGGCCTCTCCGCCGATCGTGACCTCGTCGTGTCGCCTTGCGCGCCAGCCATGCGCGTTTGCCACGCCCAGGCCAACGCCGTCCGCACACGCTCCAATCAAAATCCGAGTGACGAGATGGATTCGTAGCCTACGATTTTTTTGACACAACGCCAGCAGCATCCGTGTCCTCCTCATCCGCCGCCACCGCGCCGGCAGCCATGGCGCTCGGCACCTCCATATCCACCAGCACGCTCTCCACCTTTCTCGACGCGAGGTCCTTGCACACCGTCGCCCACATCTTGTGCGTGAGCTACGGCCCCGCCGCCACCGCGCTGAGCGCCCTCACGCACGCTAACGGTGAGGTCGAACACACGCTCACCCGCTGTTCTCCTCCTCCGCGACGAGCAGGCGACGCAGCTCGATCTTCGGCACGGGGAGGTGGAGCGGTTCGACGTACTGGACCTCGTGCACGAGCTAGTAGTGTGACGCGGCGGCGAGCCCAGGAACGTCCGCCGCCCGACTCCCCGACATGTTGCCGCTCCCCCGCCTGCCACCAAAGCCAGGGGAAGAAAAATCAGTCTTGATGAAAGCCGAAGAGTGGCTGACGGATGGCCCCCAAAGCTGAGAGCAAGGATAGCCTTTGGATCTGATTTGAAGGGCAGAGATTGAGAGAAAGTTACATTTTTACTTTACAGAGCAAAGTCACTGGATCTCAGTCCGGAGATGCCGAGGCCGATGCGGGATGCCGAGGCTGATGCGAGGCAGCAAGAGGCGGAGGAAAAACAAGGACGGCGGCGAGAGCTCGGCTTACTTGCGTTCGCCTAGGGAAGAAGAAGAAAGCTTCTTCCGGGCCTCCTGGCGAGTCTGCCTCCGCGGAGGAGCCAGTATACCTGGTGGTGGAGCATGGAGTCGAGGAGCCCACCCACTCCATCCTCGAGGTTGCAGCCGGCGCCGTCGCCCGACCCCTGCTCTACGGCAAGCGCGGCATGTCCTTCGCCGCAGTTGGGTCGCGGCACGCCGGCACGGCCCTCGGATCGTGGGTCTTGGCTTTGATAGAACCTCCATCTACGACCCCAAAACTTTCACGGAGGTTCTCGGGCCCCGTCTTCTCTACCCTATGATGGATCCCATCCTGATCCCGCACGGCAGCGAGTTGTACGCGCTCTCTTGCTGCCCCGCCGTCGTTGGGGAGGTGGAGTTCATGCCCTGGTTCTTCGTCTTTGACCTGAATCTGCCTTACGTCGGTGGCGCCGCTGGATGGCGTGAGATGCCGCCGCCGCCCATCTTTCCGTGCCGCCTCAATCCGCTGGAGTACCGCAACTCGCCGGAGGTTCGTGTTGCTTCTTACGCCATGGTCGGCTCCCACATTGTGCTCTCTGTGCAGCAAGACAAGGGTACCTGTGCTTTGGATGTGGACACCAAGAAGTGGGAGATGGTGGACAGTAAGAACCTGCCTTTCATTGGCCACGCTGTGCCCCTCGGTGGCCACCACTTTGTTGCCTGCTCCAAAGCAAGGGACGGTGCCGCTGCTGTGTTCTTCATGGAGGTCGCCCCGCCAGGAACTACATCTACAGGGAAGACAGAGCTGTCCATTACTGAGTCGCTGGTGGAATCGAAGGGCATTGTTCCGGGGCATTTTTGGTGTGCTATGGGGATGGGCAGATTCTCTTCTATTGACATTCGGTCCGTTGATCCTGGTCCAGAGGGCAAGCTGGAGAAAGCGCGCATTGTTCATCGCACTTACTCTCAGGTGGAGGGGGATGATGCTAGGACAAATTCGGTTGTCATAGTTAAGCAGCAGAGGCAGATTTACAAACTACATGATCGATCCTGTCATTTGGCTTATCCTTTACCGGTGGTTGCTGCTTTAACCTTGTAATAAGGAGCAGACCATTTCATTCTTCCGACATCTTTTTGGTGCATTAGGACTAGCTATTGTTTTCTTTGGTTGCTGCTGCTTCTCAATTAGAAGCTCAGTTTGTTTTGCACCTTTATTTTGTGTTCCTCATTATTGTACAGTTTACATGGCAACCATCATACACCGCCATATGTTGCTCGTTTCTCTGACGAAAGCTTTGGGATGCCACATTTGACATTTGAGATTTTGATTGGCTTACAAATGCCGCATTCGGTTATAGGTTTCAATACCATTTCAGCTTGAATGGGCAATGGATTAAGTGTTTTGAGAATAGGATTGGAAAAGTACACTAGAGAGTATAGGCATGTTTGATGTTGGTGTTTTATGCTTGCACTTCAGTAGCTAAAATCAACCACTGAGAACATCTTCAAAAAAAAAAAAAAGGGAAGGCCAATAAGTTAATTACTGTCTGCAAAATAACACTCTTAACAGCTTATGCAATGCTAACAAGTCAAATTTTTGTAAACGTATATGGTTTCTGCATCTATTGTGCAAGGCGTTACACAATGTAGTCAAATCAGCTACTTCTCCCTCCCTCCCTCTTTCCACTCGAATCTATATGGCTGGTTGCTCATATTATTTAGTTTCCTTCGAACTTTCAACTTTGACACTATACAAAAAAAAAAAAAGATTTCTCGTCACATCAAACTTGCGGTACATGTATGGAATACTAAAAGTAGACGAAATTAAAAACTAATTGCACAGTTTGGTTGTACTTTGCGAGATGAACATTTTGAGCCTAATTAGTCAACGGTTGAACAATTATTATCAAACACAAACGAAATGCTACAGTAACACTACAGTACTTTTTGCCAACTTTGCACATCCAAAGTTTGGCAACTAAACAAGGCCTCAATGTGAGGTGCCTAGTTCTATAAATTTTCTGGCAGCACGTGATCGAGCAAGCTAATTTGGCTTCTTTTGGAAATTAAGTTTGTGAACTTATGGTTGGAAATGTCTTTTTCTTGCTTTTCATGTATGCCAGTCAGTACATTTGTTCTAGGCACTAGGCAGCATGAGTAAAGGGTCTTTGTGGTCAGTATGGATTTTTATTGGTATCGTTGGTATCATGCAACTTCAAGTCATTTTGGTACTCTCTTCGTTCTAATTGTAAAGAGCAATGCAAGCTAATAAGAAATTAGCCTTCGACAAAAGCTGCAGGCCATGTCAACATCGCCAGTTGAGACCATCACATATTCCAACATTTTGGCAGGGGGTTGGACGAGTTTACCGCAAGAGGGTGTGGTCCAAAGGGAGAAAAAAACATGTAACAGAAGCTCTCATCAAGCTCCATAGCATAGCCTAGCAACTGCTCTAGCTTTTGGTCTGACGAGGCACTGAGTACTTCTGCAATATCCTATAATAACATGCAGAGCCACCAATTTTACCGATCTGGATGTTAAGCGCAAACTTGGACATTGAAACCACTGGCCATGGTGTCGCATCGCGGATACCCTAAGTTATTAGGCCTTTTCTACCTACACAGTAAAACTATGCATAGAAAAGCCAAAACAATTTATAATTACCTATTTTAAGAAAATCTAATTAACCAAAGTCTATGAGCTTGTTAATCTACATATTTTCCTTGTAAAACAGGAAATTCAACGAGATCTACTCTACTCCTACTTCTAAGGGGTGGCCGGAGCCGAAAAAAGTAAGTAACTTGTATTTGATTGATTGTGTGTTTTTACAATGGCCGAGGGTCCAATATTTATACCTGGAGCCTAGACATGAATCCTACTTGAGCACGACTTATTACAATCTTCGGCATAGACGAAAACATTCCTAATTTAAGATAACTTGGACTCTAATCTTTCCTTTTTTGTAGAGTCCGACATGTAGTTTCCTGGCGTCAACCATAACTCATCATTGCTATCTGCTAATGTCATCCAAAGCGATCCGATTCCGAAGTCGTATCTGAATCAGTTGATATCAATCCTTATGCAATCGGTTCCTTGATCGACACAATTTTGGGAGCTTTGAGTTCTCGCGTTTTTCTCTCCAAATTTTGGTGTAAACACAGGCCCCCCAATTTTGGGATAAAAGTGATTTTATTTTAAAATTCCTATTTATCTGTTTACCACGCCGCAACCATTTTGCTCCGAGATATACGCGCGACTCCTAGCTTCCCGGGCCGAGCCTTATATAATGCCCCAATAGTATCCTTTCCGACTCACTCGGTGTCAGTGCAGAAAGTGACCAACACGTAAATATTTATAGTTTTGCCGTACGTTGCGATCGGTGGTGGCCTAGCACTCAATGACACAGGGTTTATACTGGTTCAGGCAACGTGCCCTACGTCCAGTTTGAGTCGGTCAGTGGCTTTACTCCTGAGCCCAGGTGCTCAAAGTTTGTAGTGGGGTTACAAACGAGAAGGAGAAAGATGGGGGGTACAAGAGGTCCGGTCGGACTCTGGTCGAAAGGACCGAGAGTGATAGGAGCTCCGCTATGAGCTAAGTGTTCAAGCGTGTGCTTATGGTTTAAACCTAGCGGTTCTATTATTGTGTGCTAGTGAACTGATCGATCTAATAAATCTGAGTGAATCTTCAATGAACTGAGTCTTTTGGGAGAGAGCGCATCCCCTTTTATAGATAAAGGGGATGGCCTTAGAAGTGAGAGGGAGAGAGTACGTATGCTACTAAGCCTTGTTGCCCACGCCGGCGGGTACAGGATGATAGTAGGCGCCCACAATATTGTTAAATGTCTGATGCACGTGGGAGGTTGTGTTGTCTTCTTTGGGTATGGCAGACGTTGGCGCCTGCCACACTGTTGATTCCTGGAGGCATGCAAGGGGTTTTACCATGTTCACCCGGTACGGTAAATGCCGACGCCCACAACACTGTCGATGCCCAGAGGCATGTGGGGGAGCCTTACCGTATGGGAGTTAATGGCGCCCATAATATTGTAGGAAAAATGTCAGTGCCCACAACACTGTTTGAGTTCTGTCGTGCTAGGGAGGTTGTAGAGTACTGTTTCTACAGGTGTACAGGGTACGGTCCCCAGTATTGCGGTTTGACTTGTGCGCCCTGCCTTACTTTCTCCGTCTGCTTCCTGGTCCTTACCGAGTGGGCGTCCCCGGTCGGTTGGTCCCAGTCGGCTCTGATCGCGCTAGTCGGAGAGGAGCAGTGAGCAGGGGTTTGCCGCATCTCCGGTCGGAGACGCCGGTCGAAGTCGGAGGTGGTGTTAGGCCAGGCCTTCTAGTCGGAGAGGCCATCCGGAGGCGGGCTAGAGACCGAAGCGAGCGCTCCGGTCGGAGAGGTGGGCCAGAGTCAGAAACGTGGGTCGGAGTCGGAAACGGGTGCCATTCCTCCTCGGCCAGGCCTTCCGGTCGGAGATTGGATCACCCCTTTGGCCTGTCGTTCATATACTTGGGTCGGCCCATGAGTTGCGCGTTGTCTGCTTTGGGTCGAGCCTTTGCTGGGAAGCCGGTCCGCGAGGGACCCCGGATTTATGAACCTGACAGGAGGCCCCGAGCCCTCGGGTGATTCGGCTAGAATCGTCTAGGGGATTTTTGTCTTGACGGCGGGTGCGCTCACGCGCACCCACAGGTGTAGCCCCCGAGTCCTCGGGCGATTCGGGCAGAATTGTCTTCGGGGTTTTTCGTGTTGCCAGCGGGGGAGGTTTTGTTTCATCAGCGAGTGCGCATGAGCGCACCCGCGGGTGTAGCCCCCGAGCCCCCGGGCGATTCGAACAGGATCGCTTGGGGGGTTTTGTCAGCGGGCGTGTGTGTGTGTGTTTTTTAGTCGAGACGGAGTCGTCAATCGAGGCGTCGTTGCGTAGCCAAGGCGATTAGTTTTAGGGATCGGGCGAGACGAAGCTCGTGGATGCTGGTGTCGGTGCGCACCGTGGGATCGAGACAGTTAGTTTAGGGATCGAACGAGATGGAGCTTGCAGATCTTGGCGTCGGTGCGCGCCGTGGGATTGGGCGAGTCGGAGTCGTGGATCCTGATGGGGCGACTTCGGGGTCGCAGACCCAGGCAGTTAGTTTAGGGATCGGACGAGACGAAGCTCGTGGATCCTGACGTCGGTGCGCACCGTGGGATCGGGCGAGTCAGAGTCGTGGATCCTGATGGGGTGAGTTTGGGGTCGCAGACCCAGGCAGTTAGTTTAGGGATTGGACGAGACAGACCTCGCGGATCCTGGCGTCGGTGCGTGGCGTGGGATCAGGCCAGTCAGAGTCATGGATCCTGATGGGGCGAGTTCGGGGTCGTAGACCCAGGCAGTTAGTTTAGGGATCGTACGAGACAGAGCTCGTGGATCCTGGCATTGTTGCGTGTCGTGGGATCAGGCGAGTCGGAGTCATGGATCCTGATGGGGCGAGTTTGGGGTCACAGACCTAGACAGCTAGTTTAGCGATCGGACGAAACAGAGCTCGCGAATCCTAGCGTCGGTGTGCGCCGTGGGATCAGGCGAGTCAGAGTCGTGGATCCTGATGGGGCGAGTTCGGGGTCGTAGACCCAGGTGTTTTGGGTGTCTTGAGCCCCTAAGCCCCATTTGGGCTTTGGTAGGGGTCGGTTTGAGTTGTGTGCATTACCCGTCCTCAGTTTCTCACAACCGGAGGGGCTGAGCTTTGTCGCTTGCCTCGATCGCTCGAGCTCGAGTGATGCGCTCGGTGAGCTCGCTAACAGGTATGATCGAGTAGAATCCGGGTCCATCGTTCGTGACGGGGTCGGCATAGCCCTCTTGTGACATTCCACTGCTCCTTTACCTGCAACCCAGCAGATGCCTGGGTCATTCTGGAGACCGACCCGGGTGGCCTGATGGCCTCCCCTCGATGGAGATTCTATGGGCTTGGCGAGAGGTTTAGGATCGAACGAGAAGGTTGAGATGACCCTATCTGCTTCGGGCCAGACCGGGTGAGGGCCGCACGGGGCTCATCTGTGTTTTCTCCCATGGCTCTGTTTGACACGAGGTGGCCTCGAGCCCTTCGTGGGCTGGCCTTTGAACCCTGGTTGGTCTTT